TGTATATTGTATTGTGTTCACCACCCAAGGTCAAGTCTCCTTTCGTCACCATTTATCTCCTTTTACCCTCTTCCACCAGCAGCAGTATGTTCTTAAGCATGTGCTTTCAAATGTTTCTGTAGAAAAATGTTGATCTTGTTGGAAGAAGGTGGCACTCATTATTTCCACAGATAAAATGCAAAAGAAATTTAATGGGCAAAACAATCCTACGGTTAAAACAACTAGTATGTAACAAAATGTTTTCCTAGGCCAGAGAGGCAGAACAACTGCCCGGGTCCTTCTCGAGCCGGCGCTTCACGTACCCGCATCAGCCGCCCGAGGCTGAAGCCTTCCAAGTCTTCACGAGTCAAGCATGTTCCTTCTCTTTGTGCAGCTGTTCCACCTGACTCTCGATCTTCTCTTTTGTCTGCAGATACGTTATTAATACTCAGCTCACTGTGGTATGGATCTTGTGAGCCCATGAAGTGGAAGAGAAGTATGTAAAACACCACATACACATAGGCATTTCTTTTTCATATCTAAGCAGGAAAATTTAAGAAAATGGATTTGATGCACTCTCTTGCATTTTTCTAGATGATGTGTCATTTGACAAAGACTCATGCAAACAACAGCATAGAGCCAAGAGTGTCATCTAAATATCACACTCCTCGCCCGTGTCCAGTGAATTTGTTCCATTTCTACTTCCTCAATAGAGTTTTCTTGGTTTCAGTGAGACATTTTTACTCACCCTGATCTCAGTGTTTACAGAATATCCCCTACAGCCTGCCTGTTACTGTTGCCCTGGGCATCCCCTGCTTTGTGAATGACAAGCTGTAATGAATTGGGAGTAAGTGTGCACATGGCATTTACTTAAAAAGGGAAAATGCTTTGAAACAGCTATACCTACAGAAATTCAATTTCATTTACACTGGAGGAAATGAGGAACTTGAATTGTAGGTGTGGAGTCTTACAATCTTTCAGACTGACAAAAGCATGGTTTGGGGACGGTTGGAGCCTCACAGAATTGCTTCAGCCAGAAGTATTTTTGTGAGCACGTTTCCAAACTCCTGACCATGTTTTGATAAGAAAAACCCCTTTCTCCACAAATTCTCAGGTCCCACTCATTGGCCCCTCACCCCCAATTCTGGAACCTCTGTCAGGCTGTTATGTGGCTCTCAGTTCTTGGTGATATGTTTTCAATTTGAGTCAACTTGATGAGAGAAAAATTACTAAAAAGTGGGAATGAGCTGTGAGGTGAATAGGGTTTTCCTATCAAAGTGGAGGTATTTTTAAAAGCATTTATTATTTCAAACTAAAACATTTATAGAAAGCCATGAGTGTGAAGTGTATGGTTACCAGTTGTGGCTTGCTGTATTGAAAAATTCAAGTTCATAGGAAATATTTACGGAGGCCCTGGCTAGCAAGTAGTTTGTACATGGGAATAATTTGGTCCAGAAGGCACGTCATTTTGGAACAATGGTTTACTAACATAGTCGTAACAGGTGATTAAGATTCATAAATGTTGCCGTGATTGAGACATAATTGGAGGTCTTCAATGAAAATAATTCTGCTATTAACAGAATAGAACTTAATGTCGTATGTCTATGTCTCGCACATGACATGAATGTCAGAAGTGAGAGAGCCACCCCTCCATTTTCAATATTTTATAGGCTGTGATGTAGTATGGTTATTTTTTTTTTCTGTGTTGAGAAAGATGAATATCATTTTTGGCACATTCGTTTTACAGTAAAGAAGAATTTAGCTTACAAGCGGAAAAAGTCTGGCTTTGACTATGGATTAAAGAAATGCTGTATAGCTAGGTTTACTTTCTTAGGAAAGGTCAGTTTTGCGTGGCATTCTCTGGAAATTTGTTTGGAATGTCGAAAATTCTCCTGTCATGTGAATTCTGGAGATCTGAGGGAAATATATTTAATCACGTTGGGTGAGAACGTTCCTCTTTGTGTGAGTTCTTAGTAAGCTCATGGTGTTTTTAACACTCAATTATATGTCATAAAGTTCATTTCACAACACTACATGTGGTGTATTATTAAAAAAAGCAGGCCACAAATAGCATTTATGGAATATGAGTTGTGTGTGTGTACATGTGTAAAAAGAAAAATGTCTTGATGGTTAATAGTTAACTCTGGGTGGTGGGTTTGGGGTTATTATTTTCCTTTTAGAGTGCTTGATTTTCATTTGTTGTTATGAAATGTGTCATACATTTTAAAGAGAACATATGTACAGTTTCAAGGATAATAATGAATACCCATTGTTTAGCTAAAAAAAAAATAGGATATTACTTTATCTGAGAAGGCAAGCCTTCCCTCTGCCCCTGCTTCTTTCATGGATGTAGTTACTTGCCTGAATTTTGTGCTAAACATTTCTTTGCTTTTCTATATGGCTTAGCTACCGATGAATGCATCCATAAGCCACGTGTGATCTTATTTTGATTGTTCTGAACCTTAAATAAATGGAATCAGAGCAGATACATTCTCCTGTGACTTTTTTTGGCTCATTATGTTGTTGTGACTCCTCCATGTGGATGCGTGCAATTAATTGTTTTGTGAGAGGATAATAAATAGCCTTTCAGCACAAAAAAAATCAATGAAGTTAAAGTTATTTTGATTAAAAACTTAAATGTTAGGCTTACACCATAAAAATTCTAGAAGAAAAACATAGGCAGTAAGATCTTGAACAATTCTCATAGGAATATTTTTTTATAAATCATGTCAAGGGAAGCCAAGGGGGTGAAAAACAAATGGGAGCACAGCAAACTAAAGAGCTTTTGCACAGCAGAGGAAACCATCCACAAAATCAAAAGGCAACCCACTGAATGGGAGAACATATTCACCAATGATACATCTGATAGGAAGTAATATCCAACATTTATTAAAAAACTTATAAAACTCAACACCAAAAAAGAAATAATCCAATTAAAAAAATGGGCAAATGACCTGAATAGACACTTCTCCAAAAAGGACATACAGATGGCCAATAGACATATGAAAAGATGCTCAACATCACTAATCATCAGAGAGATGCAAATTAAAACCACAATGAGATATTATCTCACACCTGTTAGAATAGCTACCATCAATAAGTCAACAAACAAGTGTTGGCCAGGATGTGGAGAAAAGGGAATCCTTGTGCACTATTGCTGGGACTGCAGACTGGTGCAGCCACTGTGGAAAGCAGCATAGAGTTACCTCAAAAAATTAAAAATAGAACTGTCTTATGACCCAGCAATTCCACTTCTGGGAATGTCTGAAGAAACCCAAAACATTTATTCAAAAAAAATATATGCACCCCTATGTTCACTGCAGAATTATTTACAACAGCTAAGATTTGGAAGCAGACCAAGTGCCCATCAGTAGGTGAGATGATAAAAAAAACCACTGATACGTTTACACAATGGAATACTATTCTGCTGTAAAAAAGAAGGAAATCTCATCTTTTGTGACAGCATGGATGGACCTGGAGAGTATTATGCTAAGTGAAGTAAGCCAGTCAGAGAAAGACAAGTATGATATGATTTCACTTATACGTGGAATCTAATGAACAAAACAAACTAACAAAATAGAAGCAAACTCATACAGATAACAGACTGACAGCTGTAAGAGGGGAAGGGGACTGAGGTGAAGGAACTAAGCAAAGAAAAAACATCTCAGACACAGACAACAGTATGGTGATTACCAGGGGAAAAGGGTGTGGGAGGAGGTAAAAGAGAGTAAAAGGGGAATAAATGGTGATGGAAGGAGACTTGATTCGGGGTGGTGAACACACAGTACAATACACAGATGATGTATTATAGAATTATACACCTGAAACCTATATAATTTTATTAACCAATGTCACCCTAATAAGTTTAAGAAAAATTAAACAAAGAGAAGGGAAACCTCATATTTACATTTAAAAATATATATGTTGGAGCAGTGCTGAAATAACCATGCTTCTGTGAATTGAAAATTTGTTTCCAGTTCTGATATGTTCCCATGTAGATCGTGTCGACAGCTGCCTACAGAATGTGATTTTAGGGATCAGCGGCTGTACACTGTAACTGAGAAATACCTCCCTTTTCTGCCTCTGCTGGGCAGCCTCTGTGCCTGAAATTCAACCATTAGCTGTTCCTTCCTTGGGACTTTAAGAACTATCTCTGAAAAGGGAAACTGGATTATTTACCATGGACCATGAATTAGTTTTGCCAGTGACCAGTGTTAATACTTGGAAAACAACAAGCGTGTCTTGAGGGGCAGTGGAAAGGGACAGTTCTAGACCTTGAGAGGGTTGGGAACAGGCTTCAGTGGGATGCTTAAATAAAGGACTCTGGACACCCCAAATGCAACTGAGGACAGACTGAGGCGGCAATACCAGGTGCGCAAGAGACAGAGCAAGGAGGTGAGAAGGCAACGTTTTATCCCTTTTATGATGTTGCTGATATGCAGTGATGAGCACTTTCTGAGTACTTAGTATACGTGTACGGGAGCCATGCTAGGCACTCTCAATTCAAAAATATAACTAAGACCCAGTCCCTGTTTTTAAGGAACTCCCAGTCTAATGGAAATATCAGATGCCCCAACAATCTTTGTATTCAGGTGGCTACTGGGAGAGCACAAAGGAAATAGTGATTGACTGCCTGGGAGTCTTCAACCAGGGGGCTGTGCTGTATGGATTCTTGCAGGAGGAATGAGCCTGGTGAACAAGGAAGAGAGGCCATTCCCACTCAAGGGAAAGATTTATAGAGGCAAGGGGATGTGAGAGCGCAGGCACTAGGGAACTGCTAATACATGTGGCTGGAGTGCAGGGTCCATCCTATACCAGCAAAGTGATAGTTATAAAGTCTGAGCATGTCACCCACCTATTTGAATTCATTCTATGCCTTCCCGGCACTGACCCCCTGCACAGTACATAATATCGTTTGCACTTAGCCTCAATCCACCTCCCCTACCATGCTTTTCACATTATTTCCCTTAAATGCCTCTTTGAATCGCACTTTCCTCATCTGTTAAGATAGAGACCTTCTGGTCACTTTGGCAGCACATATACTAAGATTGTAATGATACAGAGAAGATTAGCATGGCTCCTGTGTAAGAATGACACACAAATTCTTAAAGCATTTTGTATTTTTATTAAGAAGTACAGATTACAAGATAGTGTAACAAGATAGTATCACAAGATAGACGTGTACAAGACTGTTACAAGATAGTCACGGGGACGTAAAGTACAGCACAAGGAGTACAGACAATAATACTGCTGCACACTGCACGGTCCAGATGAGGACTGGAAATATCGGGGCTAGGGGGACACTTTGTAAGGTATTGGATTGTCTAGCCACTATGCTGTACACCTAAAAGCAATACAAAATAATATTGAAAGTAAACTAATTAAAAATAAAAAAGTAAAATTAGGGGACTATGTCAGGTCACCTAAACTCAGCTCCCTGAGTTTTCTACAGATACAGCCTGATGAAAATTACCAAAGCTTGCTATCTGGTCAATGAGTATTTCATTTCATAAAGGGAACATTTCTCTTCATTCCCACAGTTGAATTACAGAGTTCAGAAACGTGCAGGTTCTCGTGAATGTGGATGACCTCTCCGTGAAGGCCCCAATGCAGGAGTCTGTGGGAGCACCAACTAATCACCTATCATGTATTTCAGCACCTATTGTGAGTCAGACACTGTATGACCATGATGCTGTGTCATGGGTTTGTTGGAAAATAACTTAGTCTGGCTTGCATAGTATTTCTATAATACATAATTGTGTTTATATTTATCTTAAATTTTATAACTCTGTCATAAATGTTTCAAAACCACCTATTTAAAGGCCATATGTGTATGGTTTTATTGTACTTCACTGATCTTTTTTTCTCTTTGGATAAAGCACACATATAGTACAAGAATCATATCTTACCAAAGCAAACCAATATATCATAGTATAAATGTTAAATTGGGAACCATTAACCATAAACAAGAAATTATCAAGTTGTAAGAAACAAATAGATCTGTTATCTGAAAATAAATAGGACTTGCTGAGCAACTCAGTTAAATGTGATTTAGCAGCCCTGGCCGGTGTAGCTCAGTGGATTGAGCATGGGCTGTGAACCAAAGCATTGCAGGTTCGATTCCCAGTCTGGGCATATGCCTGGGTTGCAGGCCACGTCCCCAGTAGGGGGCCACATGAGAGGCAACCACACATTGATGTTTCTCTCTCTCTCTTTCTCTCTCCCTTCCCCTCTCTAAAAATAAATAAATAAAATCTTTTAAAAAATGTAATTTAGCAAATAATTACTGGCACCTACATTAGGCGTTATAGAGTCCACTGCACTTTCCATGAAACAATCCTTCTGCCTTTGCAGCCTGGGGTGTAGCACGACTCTGTGTATTGTCCTGAAGGATCAGAGAATGGAGAACTTCCCATCCCTCTCCCTACACCCAACCTGCAGAAGCAACCATCCTATAGTTTGACTCTGCTAAGTGGAAAGTCCATACAAAATCCATCAGCCCTGTAATTAACCCAGAATGTGCAGTGAGGACGTAAAGTAGTGATGAGCATGGGCAGATGGAACCACACACGTTAGTCTGCACTCCACTCCAGAAACTGGTAGTGAATGTCACAAACCTTCCCTGCTGTTACTTTTCTCCTTGCACACCCAAATTTGATGTTATCAGTCTAGTATTTCTGATGTTCCTGAGAAAATTCCTGTGAGATTTTGCATGTGGCTCTCAGACCCTGTTTTCTTTGCCATTCCTCACCCGCCTTGGATCCCTCACTATGGGAAGACTGCTGACTGGGTGCCAGATCTGACTGATCCCAACAATCTGTCCAGGCCTGAAGTCTGGCTCCTAACCTCTGCGGTGCACTTCTACTGTAGATTGGTGTAACCTCAGCTTGTCTCTTATGGGAAAACATTCAAATGGAGCCTCTCTTTTCAGGCCCTGACACTGTGGTGAAAAACAGTGTTGTTTCCTATCTGCTGTTATGTCCTGCACCCTTCCATCCCACGTGCCTTATGTTTACATGCTTGACTGGGGAAGATCCTTAGACTTAAAATTAAAAACCACGTTTTCAAAGCATTACAGTCATTTTCTTATTTTCCCTTTTCCCAGGTTCTTAAATGTGATATTATAAATCTCACATATCTCCCCTGCCTCAAAAGGTGCTTTCTCATTAGAAAAAGAAAAACACAGAAATTCCAATGCTGTTCCAGACAGCTGTATCATGTTGAGATGACTTCGGTCTGGAAGGTGTTCATTCTACTGGACACTTCTGGAAACAAATATTTTAGCTTGATTTATAGTGCTGAAATAATAATTGTTATTTTACGGATCCCACATACCTCCATTGGAAGAACAACATTTGGGAAGCATCTTCCAATTGTCTAGACGCCCTTCCCTGCCCTGAATTATTTCAATTTAATTAAATCAGGTGGTACTTTGTGTCTACAAATTTCAGATAATACTTGTAAATGGACTTGGAGGTGAAAAGGACAATTTATCAGGACATGTTACTGATATGATGCCATCTGCCCAGATATGTCAAGTAATCTATAAGCATATTCTTTGTACAGTTTTGTGTAGAGCCAATCATTATGGTATCTAGACGTAATCTGGATGGCACCCTTTCTCTCCACAATCGTGTGACTCTTTGGGGTTTTTTGGGGGAAGAACCTAAGTTGTTTCATAGTGACTTCCTTTTTGCTCTCTCTTAGCTCCTGGATTCATGTATCGAATGAATAGAAAATTATTGTGCGGCATTTAGAAACTGAAGAGTGTGCCCACCTTGCCAACTCAGCACACACCTGACTGGAATCTCCGCCTCTGCATTTGGAAGGATATGGAGGGAAGGAGGTGACATTTGGGGCATGCAGGTAATAGATTCAGCAAAACTTACTTATTCAAGTAATCAACAAACTATTATTGGCCAACTAAGAGTCTACCTCATTCCAGAAAAGATTGAAAAGATACACCAGAGGTTCACACATGCCTTAAAATAAGATCAGAAGTATGCAATTATGCATAAATAGAAAGTCAAGGCCAGAGGAAATATAATGTAAAGGTCAAAGCTGGAAAGAAGTAGAACAGAACCATTCAGAAGGATGTGAGTAAAGCCGAGTCCAGTTTGGTTCTGAACCTCTGTCACAAACCTGGAAAGTGAAACAAATGTAGCTGATGAAGTCTAAATTTAATTTACTGAAAAGAAACTACACAAACATTTCAGTGCTTCCCTCCACCCCCCATTATTTTGAGCACTAAGTCACAGTGGGTCAGACACAGAGCTTTTGTAAGTCCATCTTGATCCTTCTCTGCCACAGGTAACATAACTAAGTATATTATTCTATTACCTTACATGGCATCTGGGAAAAATTTTCTCTCACAATATAGTCAATTTAAATCTGGGCTATAAATGAACTCACTTGGCAGAGTTGAGCTGATTCATTCTTTTTTTTGATTTTTTAAACATTTTATTTTAATCATTGTTCAAATACAGTTTTCTTCCTTTTACTCCCATTCCAGCCAGCTGATTCATTCTTAGTTCACTTGTCAGGACCAACTCCAGTGATGCTACTGAGAGCTATTTAGAAATACTCATCTTTTTCTCGGTATTTCCCCTGCATATTCCTGTTTCTAGGTCTTTATTCAGTCTGTGGCCTTTGCCTCAAATAAGAGAGGGGACCCCCCAAAACAATTTATTTATAAAAATTGTCTATTTATTCTTATATGTTTAAACTTTAGTCACCTTCAAAGGATACTCTCCTGTTGATACAATATACGTATTGAGACATTTTTTCTACTGCTCAAAACAGTTTTGAACTCGTTGAGTTTGATGCCTTTTAATGCTTCTGCCATTTTTTGTTTCACCTTTTCCATATGAACAAAATGTTTCCAGTTGAGGAGTTGTTTTTTTTAAGAAAAATCCTTTTTTTAGATTTTTAAATTTGTATTTATTTATTTTTAAAGAGAGGGGAAGGGAGGGAGAAAGAGGAAGAGAATGTGTGGTTGCCTCTCACGTGGCTCCCAACTAGGGAGCTGGTCTGCAACCCAGGCATGTGCCCTACACTGGGAATCAAACCGGTGACCGTTAGCCTGCACTTAATCCACTGAGCTATACCATCCAGGGCCCAGTTGAGGAGTTTTTTATCTGGGGAAACAAAAATAATTGCTTGGGTGAGGTGGGGTAAATAGGGAGGGTGGGGCATGGCACCATGCTGCTTTTGATCAAAAACTGCTAAACACTCAGCAAGGGGTGGGCAAGTGTGCTTGTAAATCACCCATCATGAAATGGGCAAACATGTTGAAAGTCTTCAAAAAAATTCATTGAAGCAGAACACAGCCTCTTATAACAACGCCAGCTGGTGCACTGATACAGATGGGTTCTTAGAGCAGTCACCTCTCAGGGGAAGCCTGTACTACAAGGGGCCCGCCCTCCAGAAGACAATTTCATTTTTTGGAGTTTTCCCCCATATACCTATTAGGAATTGTGGAGGGTCTGGTATTTTATCCTATTTGGTAGGCTAAGAAAGGAGCCTGTCTTAGTTTCATGGCTCAGAGCAATAGCAGTAGCCAGAGTTAACAAACAGCACATGTGCCAGTACTCTGAGCTGCATTTCCTACAGAGTGACATAAAGATGTGATGCCCACACAATAAATGGTTGCATTATAGGACAGGAGCTCTGAGCTTAAGGAACCTGAACATTTTATAATGGGCAGTTAGCACCCTTACTCCTCACTCCAGAGAAAGACACTATCTCTGTCTTCCAAGGTGGTCGGCTATACAAACATCCTTGAAAAGGTAGTTTGAAACAATGGCAGTTAGTGTCTTTCCTTACAAGGAAGCAGAAATGTGACAGACCCATGGAGAATTGTTTCCCAATAGTTCCCCCACTCCTTTGTATCTGGTTAAATACTATCTACCCCTGAAAATAAAAAATTAAGGGCCATCTTCTTTCAGTTTTCTTGGTGCCCATTTTAGAAAAATCTTCTCTCTGAATTTTTCTTGTAAGTATAGCTTCTACCAAGACTTTATTATTGTCTTCTAACATATATCTTCCTGCTCCTCACTGTGTCATGAGTCTTTTCTTTTCAAGGAGAATCTAAGTCTTTGAGGGCAGAAACCACTTTTGGAATTT